ACTGAATGAACCTGACTGATTCAGCCCAACTTGAAATTAGCAGAAATAGTGTACCAGGAACTGATAAATTACTGCTCTTAGTCGTACATGCTTACTTTGAGACTGAGGAGCAGAACAAATTCACATACACACAAATTATAGCACAAAAAAAGACTTAAAAGGCAAAGCTGGGTTGTGAAGCCCTTATCTATTTAACTTGTGATTACATGGGTACACACTAAACAGACAATAAAGCATAATTTGTTTTCAAAACTGCAGTTCATGTATTCATTGTGAAAGAATGGGCCTATAGCTGAAAATATAAACATTATAATATTTTCTTGCTTACATTTATTGAATTATTTATATTAAAACAAACAAACAAAAAACATTCCCACCATTTACAAAGAACGGATAATTTTGCAGACATTTTTTTGCAGTGCAACACTTCATCCACACTACAGAAGCTAAATATACAGGGTTTGTCTCAGAGTGACCGAGTGTAATCTGTACTGTTAATATGTGCAGCATGAATACGTGTGTAAGCGCAAGAAAACAGACCATAAACAAAAAGGAAATCAAAAACTGTTGAAAGCTCATACATCAGTTTGGTCCTTCAAACTTTGGGATCTGCCTTTTCAGGTCAAGTCAGGTATCTGTCAAGTGTCCAACTACCACAGAAATTAATTTAAATAATGCATCAAACAGCCTAAATGGTAATGTGATTCATTAATTTCCAGGAGTTTCATTCATTAGTCGCACAGCTAAACTGAGCAGGGTTTCATATTTGCATCACAATGTGATATAGATAAGTGATTATATGTCTTTTCAGACAAAAATAGTCCTTTCCCCACAGTTCTTGTATCTAGTTAAACTAGTTTCCTTTCTTTTACATTGCTGCACTACAAGAACCTTGGCTACCCATAGCAATTACAAATGCTTTTATAGTTGCCTTTTTTTTAGCTCTTCAAAGCAGCCTCACTTTACCTCAATATGACCAATGAGTAACTAATGTACTGTATTTTCCGCCGTACATGTCGCACTGCCTTATAAGTCGCATCAGTCCAAATATCTAATAAAGTGGAAAAAATCCATAAATATGTTGCTTTGCTGTATACATCACATCGATTATGCATCACCGCTGACAACCTGGAAATGTGGGCTGAACCCGGAAATGCGTGCTGGTGCTGTGCCAAAGGTTGACTGGCTGCCAAATGGCGGCCGCTAGAGCGTGCACGGGAGGACTTTAACATGATTAACACTTACATACAATTATTTGATTGCTTAAATTTATAGTAAAGGTGTGTCTCCGTTGAACTTTTCCTTAATAAATGCACTTTGATGTTCAAATCAGCTGCATTTTCAAACGTATTCGCTGCCTCGGAGCTCCGGGAGCGCGCAGAAGGAGAAAATCAAGAAGGTGGAACGCTGTGCATTGCTTCAAAATTTAACAAGATAAGCACCTAAAACAATTGTTTGCTCGACATTATATCAAAGTTGCGTCTCAGTTGGACTTTTACTTAATAAATGCACTTCTGTGGTCACATTAGCTGCATTTCGCCGGGGAGGCGCAGTGAATTGAAGCTGATTTGACGGTTGTTCCAGGCGAGCTGGACGAAGGTGGCAAGCTATGGCAAGCCGATTGTCATTAATAGCCACTTTTACCTATTACATAATAAAGCGGCATGTTATACTACTCTTCCGCCATCTAGTGGCTGAAAAATGGTAGTGCTCAATATTTCAGTCAGAATGAATGAAAACGGTCATATCCGAGCCCAAAATTGGTTTATAAATATGGGAAAAAATCCCTAAATACGTTGCTTCAGCCTATAAGTCCTATGGCATGCAAATTATGTAAAAAAAAAAAAAAAAAAAAAAAAAAAAAAAAACTTGTAGGGTGAAAAATTTGGTAGTTTATTTGAAAGCACGTATTGATTAGGGCTGCAACAACGGATCGATAAAATCGATAAAAATCGATGATTAAAAGTGTTGGCAATGAATTTCACTATCCATTTGTTGTGTCGCACGATTAAGTGTCTTTCACGGCGCTGCAAAGCCGTTTTGTTCACCTGCAGTTCATTGTTAATGCTGGCTGACGTAAAAATTTCAGCTGCTGCTACTGTAAACAAAATTAGGCTAAAATATGGTTGAGTCATTTTGTTTTAATTTGTGCTTTTTGTATTTACAACCAGAAACTGTCAGGATGACTGCAAGAACTAGCAGTAATTTTTAAAGTGGAAACTTTATGATGTAACCTCGAGTTACTGTTGAGCTAAATAGAAAAAAAGTTCTGCTGTAATTATTATTAAATCATAATGAATCTATTGTAACAGCTGAATTATTCAATAAAATCTGTTTATTCAGTGAACAAAAGAAATAATGGCCTTTTCTATTAATGACTGATTTAATCATTGGACAACTGTTCACATACTGTGAACTTAAGTTAGTGAAGCTTTTGTTCATAAAAACTTTTCCTCAATTGGTACAAAAATAGATTTACATGCAATAATGAAAAAAATCATTATTTGAGACATCACAGAGTGAAATATTGTGATTTCCAGCTTTAAAACTGAAGGTCATATTCCTTTGTGAGCCTCCCTATATTTTCATATGGCATAACTGGGCAATTAGAGCCAACCTGGTGCATCACATTTATTTGCTATTCATAACAGGAATTACACACCCTGGATGACTTTACATACTTTTGAAATAAATGTTTTCAAAGCAATTGTTCTAGTCTATTATTGCTTTCTTGTTTGATAAAAAAAAATCTATTTTACTAAGAAAACAATGCAATATATATATATTTTAGATTCCAAGGCTTTGTGTTTTTTTTTTTTTTTATTGTCCCGCCATAAATTAAATCAAGTTTTAAATTAACAGGCTTGTATCTATTAGTGACTTTGGCTTATTTAACTGAGCTTTTGAAAATCCTCCAAGTATATAACATTGGAATCTGCTTCTAAAGGAATTTGCAACAATTTGAATCTTTTTTTTCTTTCTGCGAAGCTCCAATAAAAACAAATATGGTCGCAAAAAAAAAAAACTGCAACAAACATTGGTGATTAAATTGGTATATGCATGTAAATACAAAATCAAAGTATTTAATTCAGTAAAAAAAAAAAAATGCGCTGTCACATTCCTGAAAGTTTTTGTCGATCAGAGAAACGGCTTAACAGTTTTGTTGTCAAATAATTGTAACGTTAAATGAACACATTTTAATAGTTAAAATATGCTAATAATATGTTATAATATATATATAATATGTTAAAATATGTTAATAATATGTTATAATATATATATATATATAATATGTTAAAATATGTTAATGATCAGGTCTCTCTTGTAAATGAGTCCTCGAGGCTCAATGGGATTTACCTGTCTAAATAAAGGTTCAATGAAAAATGTTAAATTTAAATGTCTGCTGGGTACAAACTACACACACCTCATTTGTTTAAAAAACGTGCAACTTTGGGGGAGTGGTGGCCTAGAGGTTAAAGATGGGCCTGTGATCGGAAAGTCGCAGGTTCAACTCTCGGTACTGACAACAGCAAAATGTGGGTGGAAAAGGTGAAACACCCACACCTGCCTCTACCCTCATTTGCCCCACTCTGGGCTCTTGAGCAAGGCCCTTAACCCCCACCATCTGCTCCCTAAACAGGTCTCTCTTGAAAATGAGTTCTCGTGGCTCATTGAGACTACCTGTATAAATAAAGGGTACATGGGAAAACAAAAAAAACCTTCACTGTAAAGGCACAGCTGGGCGAGAGATTAATTCACTTTGAAAAACCACAGCTCAAAGACAATACCACAAACCGAGCCGCTGTAGCACCAGCACTAGCTTAGAAGATGATTTTAACTTTTTAGCTGAAGAAAAACCCAAATGACACGATGAAACATTCTAGAAAGAAATGTAAGTACCAGATTTTTATACCCTATAAGTTGCAGTTTGTTGCATAATTTACATGCCCTGCGACTTACAGGCCGAAGCGACATATTTATAAATTTCTTCCCATATTTAGAAACCAATTTTTGGCTGAGATATGACCGTTTTAATTCATTCTGAGTAAAAAAAATAAAATAAAAATTGAGCAGTACCACTTTCTGCCACTAGATGGTAGCAAAGTAGTAGTAGCAGTATGGCATGACGTTGTATCATGTAATAGGTAAACGAGGCTATAATGGCAACTTCAAAAAAGTTCAAGACAAAATAACCTGGACTTTATTTATTATACTTTACTTTATACTTTATTGTTTATTTCTTTAACTTTTTTGAATTTACCATGTCCTGAATGACTGAGAATCTTCACCAGCTATTAATGACACAATCAGCTTGCCACAGAACCCCACGTTCGTTTTGCTTGCTGCTTGGAACCGTCAAACCAGCTGCACCTCCCCAGCGAAATGCAGCTAATTTGACCATTAAAGTGCATTTATTAAGTAAAAGTTCAACTGAGACGCACCTTTGCTACAATTTCGAGCAAACAAATAATTGTTGTAGGTGCTTTTCTTGTTAAATTTCGAAGAAACGAGCAGCATTCATCCTTTTTTTTCCTCCCTCTGCTCGCTCCCGGAGCACCGAGGCAGCAAATAAGTTTGAAAGACAGATGATTTGACCATTAAAGTATTTTTGTCAAGCAAACTTTACACTGAGACACACCTTTTACTACAATTTCAAACAAATAAATAATTGTTTTTAGGCGCTGTTCTTGCTAAATTTCAAGGAAACTAGCAGTAAACAAGTAGAAAAGTGTGGCCTATATATGTACAAAATGTATTTACTTTTAAATTTAGTGGGCGCAACTTATATTCAGGTGCGCTCAATAGTTCGGAAATTACGGTAATGTGAAAATAGTAAACAAATCATCAGTCATTAAAGTTGTAGTAAAACAAAAAAAAAAATCACGAGCGCAAATAAACGGTGTAAACTGTAAAAAGCAATGTGAACAGCCAGTCCAGTGAGATACTACCTTTTAGGAGGATAAAGGTGATTAAAAAAAAAGAGAAGTGAGTAAAGGTACCTGTTCCATCCAAACGGAGAAGCAGCGCTGCCAGGAGTCCTTCTTCTCCAGATGCAGGTACGTGCTGAAGAGGATGAGGTACATGTAGCGCTCCAGGTACCGCCAGCTCTTCAGCATCAGCTGCTGACACTCCTTGTCACTCTTTTCATGTTTAGCCTAAAAACAGACGTAAAAAAAATGTTCTACTAATGTACCAACAGAGGTATTTTCCAAATACTTTGTACAGATGTGAGGCTGTAACTCTGCCTACACGTATGATGTGTTTACAGAACAAACTTGGTGTTTAAACTGTCTTTTGGGAAGCATAGTGTTCTATATATTTATTTATTTATTTATTATTACACATGAAACTTCCAAAGACTAAAAACCAAGAGATTAATAAGCAAGCAATACACACAATGTTTCTCTTCACCATTAATCTAGTAAAGAAAATGGTTTTCAGGTATTTTCTTGCATATACCAGAATTTAAAAAAAAAATGTACGCAAAGTTATTTGAAAATTGGAAAAAACAAAACTTTTTTCTACACTCCCAAATAAATAATACAACTGATTTTCCAAAATGAATGTTCAAAATATGTATTTTTAATAGTCCTTGTTGTCACATTTATCATCTGGTTGGCAAAAAAAAAAAAAAAACAGATCTTATGCTACTGTTTTTTTTAAAGTTCAATCACTTTTGGAAAACTACATAAAACACTAATGGTGAAGGCTGTTTGTGGTAAATGCCATCTCTTCATTTTTGTAATTATGTTTTCATTTAAAGGGACAGTTCAGTCATTTCATCAGTCGTAGACTATTGAGGAAAAAGCTAAAATCTTCATAATTGCCAGGTTAAAAAAATATTTATCAGAAAGCATTCTAGAGTAAAAGAAGGCTATGTTAACTAATATTAACTCTACACTTTTGCACAACACTGTTAAATAACCAAACAACGTCAGTTACTACTTGAATATATACGTATGGCACACAAACTAAGATCTTTAAAATTTGCTAAAATCTGTCAAGTAAATGTTAACAAATATATAACCACTTGGTTAATAACCTGGGTGGGTGAATGATCCGAGTCAGTTAACAGGTTTGGTCAACCACTCACCTCTTCCCCAGCCCAGTCAACTCTGCTACAAACCCCACTAGCTTTTGACGACTGATGTTTTTTCTTTTCCTAAAAATCGACACCTTTCAGCCATCGCCCCTCCCCCACCACCACCATCCTGTCCCTTTCAACACTTCAGGTGAGGAAAGAATTGTGAAACATCAAGGTGCATCAGCTCTAGGCTCTGGAGGTGCTGCGTAGATCAACTGTGAGGCATCATGGGACACGTGTTCAACGTGAGCCTGGAGCTGGGGAAAGTACCACAGCTGTGGAAGACCTCCTGTGTGGTACCGGTGCCAAAGACCACACATCCAAAGGACCTCAGCAGCTACAGGCCAATAGCACTGACCTTGCATCTGATAAAGACCCTCAAGAGGTTGGTCCTCAACCATCTACAACCCCTGGTGAGGTCTTTATTGGATCTGTTGCAGTTTGCCTACCAGCCTGGCATCGAGGTGGATGATGCCATCATCTACATCCTGCACCGAGCCTTGACCCATCTGGAGAAGCCTGGAAGAACTGTGAGGATCTTGTAGTTTGATTTCTCCACTGCTTTTAAAACCATCCAACCAGGACTTCTGAGGGACAAAATGGAGCTGTCGAGAGTGGACCATCACATGTCCCAGTGGATACTGGACTATCTCACTGGTCCCCAACAGTATGTGAGAACACAGGGCTGTGTCTCTGACAGGCTGGTCTGTAGTACGGGGAGCCCGCAGGGAACTGTGCTGGCCCCGTTGTTGTATTGTTGACTGTGTGTTGATTTTACAAATAAACCAAACCTGAACCACCACTCCTGTTAACCCTCTACACTGCAGACTTCTCCATTAACTCCACAGGCTGCCATCTGCAGAAGTTCTCTGACAAGTCTGCCATTGTTGGCCTCATCACAGTTGAGGACGACTCAGAGTACAGACAGTGGGCACAGGACTTTGTGGACAGGTGCCAGCGGAACCACCTCCTGATCAATGTGGGGAAAACCAAGGAGCTTGTTGTGGATTTCCGCAGGCGCAGACCCACCACACTGACACTGGTGGACATCCAGGGAACTGACATCGAGACAGTGGATTCATAAGTACCTGGGTGTTCTCCTGAACAATAAACTAGAGAAGACTCTATCTGCTGAGGAGACTGAGGTCCTTGGGAGTACAAGGGGCACTCCTCAAGACCTTTGTTGACTCTGTGGTGGCATCAGCCATTTTCTATGGTGTAGTCTGCTGGAGCAGCAGCTTATCTATAGCTGAGAGGAAGTGGTTGGATAAGCTCATCAGGAAGGTCAACCCTGTCCTAGGATGCCCCCTTGACCCAGTGCAGGTGGTGAACCAGAACTTTGGCAAAAAATCACAACACTTTGACAACGTCTTCCACCCTGTGAAGCTGTTACAGAACTGGAGAGCTCCTACAGTAACAGACTGCTGCATCCAAAGTGCACAAAGTTATCGCTATTGCAGGTCCTTCCTCCCAGCAGCTGTTCAACTTTATAACCATCACCGATCACAACAAACTCTAAGTGTTTACACCCCTGCTGTCACTTGCACAGGTTGTCCATTTCTTGGACATAGTATGTTTTATTTTATGTGCAAAAACATATGCACATTCTGTAAATCATCCTACTCGGTACATGTCTTGTTTTTTTTTTTCTTATGCTGTAAATATGCCCACACTTTACAGTCTCATTCATATTCTGTTTTTATATTGTCTACCTTTGTGGGAATCTGCATTGTTTGATTTGTCTGACACTTTGCTGTTGGTGCATCTGAATTTCCCCACTGAGGGAAAATAAAGGTAATTTCTATTTTATTCTAACAACCAACAGGATTATAACCCATAAAATCCAATTTCACGTGTTTTGATCTGCTCTGTATATTCACAACCTTTTCAAACTCAAAAGACTTTTTTTTTTTTTAACTCCTTGTGATTAAACCATTGTGTGTGTGATCTTGGTTATTTGACTTCAAGCTGGGTTTTCCAGGACTGATATCCTCGCTGCACATGCAGACCCCTCCTCAATCATCATTCTTTCATCTTTTCTGCCCTTTCATCTGCTGACAAAGCTCGTTGCCAGATAAGAGTTTTGACATTTGGAAGGCGTTCAGCTGGTATCAAGCCAAACAGTCGTCAAACATACAGTACCACCTGCAGAACAAACTACCCCGTCACAATAGCTGTTTACGCCCGGTGCTTTCTAAGACCTTTAAACTCCACTGTTTCACTAGAATTATAATTAAACGATTGTCCTTAGTAAATAATGAAAATTTTCACTACAAAATCTTATGGTCAACAGCGTAAGAACAGTGCAATTACATAAAGTGCAAGATGGTCGAATAATTCCTTTGATTGCTACTTAAGAGTCGAGATAATAACACTTTCATGTGACTAATTCTGCGCCCGTAACAAAGACAGAAAAGGTTTTTAAAAATGAAGTTAGTTGAAGAATAATTTTAAGCTTTGCTAACGTATTTAGTTTTAATATTAATTAAAAGAAAGCCTCTTCTAAAAGTCCTGTGGCACTTGTGAATCACATCAACAACTACGAAGATTATTCCTAAATGCGGCGAAAAGACCCTACAGAACTACTACATGGCAATTTCACAAAGTATGGTTGGCAACCGGGTTTCTTTTCGATTACAGGTTCTGCAGACGACCAAGGTCATCGCAGACAGGCTTTCATTTCTACGTTGGCTCTGCGACACAATGTTTACCTTTTTCTTGGGCCTCTGTTTTTACTCACATTGCTTGGAGCCTTTGTGCACATGAAGTTATAAAATTTACTATCCAGCTGTGTGGTAAACTACTGAATTCGATGTTATATCAGTAAATAAATGTGTATTTTATGTGCAATATAGCACAATGAACTGGTGTTCTTTACCACTTTTTAAATACACTGTTTTTTTTAGATGAAACTAAAGGAAGGATTTTAAATAAGCAGATGTTTCAGTAGCAGCAAAAAATTAATGACATTTTTCTAATGTTAGTGGGCAAGAACAAATTCAAAACTGTCCACAGCTTCAGCAAATCAGACCACAGATGAATGCCACAGCAGACAGAACGAGAGGATGAATGGGGTTTCCTGCCCACTCCCAAACTGCTCAGGCTAGATCCCAATTTTCCAACCATATGTTTCAAAACGCCTAAAAGTATACTGTCTGCTTTTTCTCCTTGTTAGGATAAAATAAAGGTTACATGCACAAACTGAGTTTTACATTTCTCAACGCGTGCACAACAGTGAAAAGGCAGGTGAATCAAATTAACCCGATCACCCTTTGCACCCTGCACCCCCAGAGGCTTTAAGCATTTTATCTTTTACCTTGAAAAGTCCACAGTTTCCCAGCCAGGCAGTTAACCCTGCATAAGCCACTGATCCCTTTCGCACTTACACTTTACCACACACACACACGAAAGGGATCCGTTTGCAGAGATTACATAATTCACACCTCCACAATCCGCCCAACTCTAAATCTGGGGCTGCCATCTGTCTGCCTACTTGGAAAGAGCCATATGTGAGTTTGAGTAGTCTTGTGGGCACTTTCAAAAATTCTGTCCAGAACATGGTGTCCGAAAAGATGGTATGCATTTGCAAGGTTCACAAAGAATCCAACATTATGCTATTATATAAACACTACTTGGCATTTTATTTTGAACTGAAAACTCAAGAGATCAGTAGCTGCCCCTTATTGTTTGTAAGGTTTTAGAACATCCTTAACTCTCCACAGCCCTGAATAAAAGTGTAGCAAGGCTAAACGGAAACCATCGACCAGGGTCCAGGAATATACATTGGATAAACACATTATAAAAGTAACTAGAAAACAATGTACAGACAATAAAACAAGAGTAATATGTGTCTTTTTTTATGTTCCAGTGAGGAGTTTTGCTACAACGCTTGACAAGTTCAGTCTTTCAAATGTTTCTGCAGCTGTGACCACAGGCAGGCTAACAGGCTGCTGTTTAATATACTGTACTAGTTTACATTAGTAGTGATTGGCGTGGATCTTAGATCTTTTAGCGTATTGTTTAGCGTTCCTTTAGTGTATTTCTGAGATCCTTGTATACCGTTTCTTTTTA